GCTAGGYTCAAGTAGTTGTGYCAGCCATCTTGAATTTTAACTGTTAAACTTATTCAGATGTATAGAAGCTGATGCTTTCTGAGAGTTTTATTAAAATCTGTGCTGTGGTTCATGAACTGACAGTTTTGTAATTTATTTGTTGAACTAATGAACAAAAACACGATGGGCAGTGTGTTTTTGTTCAGCTGATATTCATCTCTTACATCTCTGTAGAGAAAGTTGTCGAGTCTGTCCGCCAAGCCCTGCCAGGTCAGTTGGAACAGAGGAAGACTCAAGGCCTGATGAAGGTTCAGCAATCTGTCCCTCACACAGAACATCATGGGGCAGGCAGAACTGGACAGAGACATGGTCAGCTGGTCCTGCTGGGACGGAGCGGACAACCATCTGCAAAACAACAGAGAAACAAGGAAGCAGGAGATCAGAACACTTTGTATGAAGCTGTGGGTATCTTGGGCTCTAACAGTGTAATCTCAGTGTTTCTACTCGATTCTGTCTGATTGTGAGACTGACAGGAAGCCAGGGGACACGCTGATGTCTCACCTGTCATGACAGTATGGTTTGGCTTTTTCAGCAATGTCTCTCATAAGAAAGTCCAACAGTCTGCCCAACATGTCTGCTTTTAACCGATCCAGCAAGGATAACAGACCATCAAACAGAGACCCCTCCAGGGAAGCCAGGCGACCCACTTCCATCATTTCAAGGCCCCCCAGAACCTCCTGCTCGCCGAGCGAAACTGCTGCCTGCTGCAGCTGTAAAAAAAACTGAGGACAGAAAAACGAAGAGCTGAGTCACACAAACAGCAGAGAAAAGTTTTCTCAGGTCTAATCCCACAGTTTTGTCTACAGGCTCTGTCAACCAACCTTAAAGGGTTCCCTGATTAGTTGTAACATTAGACTTTATTTGATAAACATATATTTTAATTGTAAAATAAAGACTGTAAAAATACTGTAGGCTGTTTAGTTTTGTAAATTTTTAAAAATATACTATAACACGGACAGAGTCATTTTTTTACACGCAAAGCATTCTGGGTAAATGATGACGTGGATAGGTCCTCAGTGCGAGGCTGCTAGCGAGCTATATCCACCCTGAAGGTTAATCTTGGACAATATCTGATGATCGACTCTTTTAAATGAAACCAGAGAGCGTTGACAGAGAGGAGAAGGTAGAAATGACTCWGCCTGGAACTGAAAATATAGATGGAGGACAACAGAGCTGCTTCATGGAAGAAGAACCTCAGCTTAGCCTGTTAGCCTTTGCGCTAGCACCAATGCTATATTGCCTTATATGTATTAGCTCGGCGCTAGCGTGACAAACAAGCTAAACTGAGGTCCTCCATCCATATTTTCAGTTCCAGGCTGAYTCATTTCTACCTTCTCCTCTCTGTCAACGCTCTCTGGTTTCATTTAAAAGACTCGATCATCAGATATTGTCCAAGATTAACCTTCAGGGTGGATATAGCTCGCTAGCAGCCTCGCACCGATGAATGTCATCATTTACCCAGAGTGCTTTGCGTGTAAATAAAATGGCCCCGTCCGTGTAATATATTTAACTTTTAGTTTTAAAATTATAAAAACTAAACATCCTACAGTATTTTTACAGTCTTTATTTTACAGTTAAAATATATGTTTATTAAATAAAGTCTAATGTTACAACTAATCAGGGATTCCTTTAACACTACTGAGAAGCATTAAATCACAGTCAGCGTCTCTCATTTTGGTTTTATTTATAGATTCTGTTTAAACTAAACTGCAGTTTGCAAGAGTTACATAGTTTCAACTATTCACCACAGTTTTTCCATCATTTTCTTAGTCTTGGTTTGGTAATGAAGTGAAATAATGTTTTTACGGTAGTTTCTTTTTTTAAATGATCACAAAATACTTTACTGCAGCAAAATAAATCCTCACCACGTTGTCGCCCCAGTCTCTGAGAATGGTGGAAATGTAGTTAACAGCGTTAAGGATGGCACAGTAGCGAACACCCAGAGGGAACCGAGACTCCTCTTTCATCACCTGGAAAAATAACAAACATCAGCGTGAACGTCTTCTGTCACACAGCTCCCAGCTCTGAAACTCAACGAACGATGTGAAACACTTTCAGAAAGAAACAGAAACACTGGATGAAGAAAAAATACAAACTGTGCCAGATTCTGCACTACCTGTGTTAGCCGTATACGGAAGTCATCAACCAGTTCCCTCTGCAGATCCAGAAACTTCAGCTGTGCTGAAGAACTCGGCAAAGCCTGGTACCGTTCTGCCATCAGGAAGCACACAGAGGCAGGAAACTTTGACATGTTCTGCAAAAATCTAAGTGCTGAAAGACTAACAATGGCTGATAGCAAATTGTTAGCCATGACCTTAAAATAAGCTAAAATAACAATAAGATAAACCCTGCAGAAAAGGAGCTAAAAACCATGATGACAAAGACGTAACTAAAATCTAAAAGCTAAAAAACAGCCGATCAGTAGAGGGACCAAAATTAGCAAAAGAGTAGCTAAAGTATTAGCAAAACAGCACATAGAAACTGATAGTACCACAACAGTAGCTAAAAGCTAGTGAAGTGAATCTCAAAGAGAACCATGTTTTTCAAGGATTTCAAGAGATTTCAATGCATTTCTTTCAAGTTAAATCATCTAAAAAGTATAAAAGTTACAGCAGTAAAGTCATGAAGCAGCTGAAGGTTTGGATTTGGCTGAATGTATGCTGAAGTAGTTAGAGCCCAAACGCTGTATGACACTGACTATAAACAGGAAAAAAAAGAAAGTTAATGAGAGGAGCGGATTATCTAAAGAGCAGACAAACAAAAGTTAAACTGCCAAACAGACGCTACATTTGAACTAATAATGAGAGACCTCCCTCTATCCAGCAACACTTTCCAGCTCAACCTGGGGGACCCCAAGGTGTTCCCAGACCAGAGAGGATACATAATCCCTCCAGTGAGTCCWGGGTCTTCCCCGGGGGGCACCTACCAGTGGAACGTGCCTGGAACACCTCTAAAGGGAGGCTTCCTAATCAGATGAAACACCTCAACTGACTTCTTTCGATGAGGAGGAGCTCCTCCCCCTATCTCTAAGGCTGGGCCTGGCCACCCTACCAAGGAAGCTCATTTCAGCTGCTTGTATCCAGGATCTCATTCTTTCAGTCATGATCCTCGTCTAGTGCCCCCAGGTGAGGGATGGAACAAAGACAGACCAGTAAATCGAGAGCTTTGCTTTTCGACTCAGCTGTTTCTTCACCGCAAATGACCGAATCAACGCCCTCATTACTGAAGACGAGGCCCCAATCCATCTCCTGCTCCATCCTACCATCACTCGTGAACAAGACACCCAGATTCTTAAAAACAACTCTGAAACTGGTCAGAGTTAAAGGAAAGTGAGACGGAGCAAAAGAAAGAGAGATTCTTGAAAGGAAGTTGGAGTTCCTCTGAGATTTGGGACTGGAACAAAGATTAACCTTCCAGCAGGACGATGGCCCTGAACACAGCTGAGACCAGTGGTGCATTTATGATATGGGCAACATGGCTCACWGCTCAGGGAGGCATCTTGTCAAGGGCTGCGTGAATTCTCGCTCTTCCTTCRACGTCAGCATGAAGAATCAGTTGTGCTGCGCTCTGTTTTGGATTTCACCACAAAAATGGTTTGACTATCCTTATAACCATCTTAAAGGAYAGGGAGTCCAGCTCCCATCCCTTTAGCTCTTCTCACAGCTCAGCTGTGTCACAAGAACTGACTGAGTCCTCCTCTTATGTCCTGAAACACTAATCACAACCATCAGCCTCCTCACACAGGTCTGAGCTGCAGCCAACCAACAGTCAAATCAAGTTGGCATTCAAGTCCAGAGTTATTTCCTTTCATCCAGAGATCTGAGCGAACTAGAAACATTCAGCTGATCTAAGTGACCTTTCAGACCCGAGCCAAAGCTACTGTCACTGATGTAATGAAACATTAACCGCCATAATGATTGATATGATCCTGCTAACATGGTGGCGAGACGTGCGTTGTCACAGACATATTATTGACCCTTTGCACCCACGTGACAAAGTCATGTGACGCCGGCATGTCGGATGGCAGAAGGCACGGAGCGGTGTATTGAATCGAATGGCAGTGATTGTTTTTGAAGTTGTTTTTTTCTTTTTGCCATGGTTTCTACTTGTTAAGTTTAGATAATTTATCTGTGGAAGTCGCACACCTAGTTGGGGCTCACTGACAGTGTTATTTACAGAAGWTGGACATAGCTAGTTTAGAAATCGACCCATATCTTCTCCCTCTGGACGTGTTTGTTGATTTGATCAAAACGCAAACTCTGCCTGAAGTCACGCCACATGACTTATACCACTATGTCATAAATGGTGTTTCCCCCTACACTGGAGCTGACTTAAAAGCATATAAAAGCCTGGATGTTTATCAGTTTTTTGTTGCTGGATGGGTTGACTGGGACAAGACATGGTGCTACTGTTACATGGAGGGACAAGATATCTCATAATGGCGAAGGTAAGACTTGCTTGTTAATGCTAATGTATTTTTAATTGCCGATTCCATACGTGACTCTAGATATTTTTCGGGTTACTGAGCACCTCGAAGTGTAGAGCCGACAACGCGGCTAGCAGGCTAGCAAGCTAACAAGCTAACAAGCTAATAGCTTCTCTTCATGTTAAACAGCTCCGGGTTACAACAGCGCTCCAAGCTGCGCTTCTTTCTGTTCGACATTTAGCTGAAATGATCCATTCCCAGTTAAATTAAAAAGATGAACAGCTTTGATGATCAGCTGGTCTGATTTTATGACCACCTGAATGCGCAACTTGTGTTTACTTAACCAACGTGGAAAAAAATAAATAAATAAAAGATTCTCCTCCTCCGACCTTTCACTCAACACCGATTCAACATTGAGTAAAAACAACTATACAGCAGGTAAAATGAGTATTGAACATGTCACCATTTTTCTCAGTAAATATATTACTAGAGGTACTAATGACATGAAATTTTCACCAGA